TTTACATGATTTTCCAAGATTTGCAATTTAAGTAAAATAAGACCCTCTTTCCTTTTCACTCAAATCTTGAATGTAATGCAAACAAAAAAAACCCAAAATATTAGCAGAAGAAATCTTGAATATGAAGAAGAAACCAAGAACAGAAATTATATTAACCAGCTGATTTTAAGGGTATGTTAATGTAGTGATAATATTAGGATTAGAGAATGAATGAATAGAGCAAGTGCCACCAAACAGAAACTACCACAGTAACCTTTTTGGGTTAATAAGGTTAAGAGGTGAGCTTCTGAACTTAGGCTTTGCCCCTAATATTATTATGAGAGTATTGTGAAGTGAAGGGAAAGCTCCAAATATATAACAGCTTCAATTCAAAATAAATAAAAATAATAAAAAGAAAAAATACAAGTATAATAAGGCAAGGGTGGGTGAGTACTGAGTGATGAAACTGGAAAAGGTGACAAAGAAGTTGATGAATAAAACAAGCAAAGTGCGGGTCAAAACCTTTTTTTTTTTAATTTAAAATACCTCACTCTGCCATTATTATAAAGTCATAAAATGCCGCTGTTACATTATACGGAGTACTACAAATAATTATGCAATACACATGCATTTTTTTTTTGTTAGGCAAACATTTATTCATACTTTAAGATTGATGTTATGCATTGGAGTTAGAATTTCACATACACATGATATGCATAAAATTCGGTGTGCGACAATTTTTTTTTTTTTTTTTTTTTCCAATTTAAGATATTGATAGCCGACGCCAAAATTTTGGAAATATCTTGTTTTAAGTTGATTATAGTATAGTTTTTGTAATATATATATATATGCCAAAATACAGCAACAATATGATCTTACATACTCCATAATCTGTATAGTAGTTAGTACTCGAAAACAAAATTCAGCAGTTGAATTATTTAACTTTGTTAAACATCAACATTCACCCCCAAGTTATCGTTTTTTATGTGGCTCTAAATCTGTCATAATATTGACCTTGCTTATAAATAGTTATATTTAAAGCCATCACCCACCACTTAACTTTAAAAACACTCGTAAATAAATGAAAAAGGTTGGACAAAGTTATAGGCTATAGACGGAAGATTCTGATGACATGGGCCTTGCCAGTTCAATACAGCTTATTTTGATACATCTTACAATTATACCAGTTGTTGCTGCTACCTTCCCTAATACCTACGATTTTTATACTAGTTTCTCTATTAATTCTTAAGTACTGGTAGTACGGTATACCCCGTAAAATACATAGTCCTGTAATTCTAGCCTTTCTTATCTCTGTACTCTAATGCTCGGAAACTGGAAACAAGTACCGGCCGTATTGTTTCCAAGTTTGGAAACGCATTAATGAACGTTCATCCAAAAAAGCTTCTAAAATATAGATTTGTCCTCCCATATTCGCAAATCACTATGCATGTTATTCTGTTGAGAACTTAATTCAACATTTTAAAAAAAAAAATGATAGCAGAAGGATTGCATGCATAGATCTATATAACCCCTCTAACCTTTAAAAAACAGAGATAGCCATATGTACAGTTGTAGGCAATTAATCAAACAAAGTATAGAGAAATAAATAAATTATTAATCGATACGAAAAACAACATTCAATCATGGTTATTACTGTAGCGATTAAATGTTGAACTCAATTTCTAAAAATAAAAAAAAAAAAATCCAACATGCAACCTCAAGCTTTAATATTAAATGTTTATCCAAGAAGCTATGACATATTTTATGTTAATCAAAATTTTAAAATCTAGTGTAAAAAAGACTTTTCGTATCGATTTTTGGGTTTAAGTGGCAATTGTAAACTATAATGCTTTTCCATAATTTTATAAATGTGCACAAAAATGGTGAATAAATATTATTATGTTTTTCATGTCGATTTCATATGGGTTTACTATATTGATTGTAACATGATACGGATTTCACTACTATTTCACAAACATATGTGCATATTGTAGCGAATGTAAAATTGCTACGAAAAGACAATTTTCTTGTAGTGTAGTTTAGTACGGTGTACAAGGGTATCAATGGTCGGTAAAGTTTTGAAATTATATTCAAGATTCAAGATCAGTTTCATCTACTCTACTATCCTTTGTGGCTCCAACTGTACATAACTACATACTTTTATGTTTTAACAGGTCTTTGCATCTCAAATGGACCAAAAGACAAGGAAGTTGTATCAAATTAACAACTTGAAATGTAGTATCCTTTCTTATTGAACTTGTTTGTACCAGGTCAATCAAAAGACAAAAACACAGATAGAAACCTACCACTACCATGATTTACATTGCGACATTCATTGATACTTAGTTGGAACATCAAGCAGGGTACTAGTATATAGTAATGTATACAAAGGCAACTAAGTACTGCATCAAGCCACAAATTACCCTGCGTGAAGGTCCAGGGATATAACACAAGTTGTCGTCGTTAACAGTGTAAAATATTGGCTGAATTCAATTCTAAACCAAATTAACATAACTAACAACTCTGATATAACACCACACTTCCACAGTACAGAAAAACAAGAAGCTCCAAGGGGTGTAGTTGAAAATCTGGAAAATTTTGGTTGTCAAACCTCAAAAATCCTAGAATATTCCAGCTGAATTTGGAGCACCTTTTCTTTTGTCTTTCCGGCATTGTCTGTTAAATGTGCTTTATTAAAGAAAGAGTTGAGTGGAGAAATTTTTGTATTGCTCGTGTATTTTAAAAAAAAGTGGAAAAAAAAAACTTGAAAAGAAGGACTAGTTTATTTGCCTACCAACTGCAGATCATGCTCGTCCAACTAAGATACTATTCCTACAAGCTAAGGCTACAATAAATTAGTATTATACATGCAAACCAACCAAATCATATTAATTTAAATCATCCAGAAACCAAAACAAATAAAGATGCAATACTACAAAATCAGAAAGCGATCCTCGTACTATATGCTTTTTTTTTTTTTTTTTTTCTTTCGAATGCAAGTGCTCGAACTACAGACAAAATAATCTTTGATTTCTGGCTGACAATGCTCTCGATCGCGATCAAACAATATAATTCAATAGTTTGGTCACTTAACATTGTCCGAAAGAAATTTAGCATGTAACAATCATAAAAACAGAAGTAGAGAAAATCCAGCAATTCAGATTTATGATAGTCCAAAGCTTAAAACATTGAATCTGTCTGTCTGATGAATATGCATGTCTCAAGAGCAATTACTAAGGACTGACCCACAGGGAGGCAATCACAATTCACAAGTCAACCAGACAGTCTGTTAGTTAATGAATGGAAATTATATTATTGATTAGTTAGCTTAAATCATTTGATTGCCCATTTTTCAGGAAGATGCATCACTTAAGCATCACCAAATTTCAACCTTGCATTACCTGAATTTCCTACTCCTTAGTAGGTTATAATTGCCCCTTTCTTAGGACTATAGTCGAATATTTAATATTCCATATTTAACTATGAAGGCGAAACCAAACTTGGTTGTAAAGCGGCCTATACTCATAATAAAATACAAAGTAGTACTAAAGTTTTAACTTTTCTTGGAAGACTCATTCCAATTTGCCATTTAGGAGGGTTCATGGCTACTCAAACCCTAATGAAGCTTTGGTAGAATTTAACCATGATAAGACTAAAAAGTTACTGTAGAAGAGTAGTTTATATATACTCCCTCCGTTAATTTTTTATGTGCAACTTGGGGCATTTTACGGTTCATGAGGCAAAAGTTAAGGGACAAAAATTAGAGGAAGTAAATGAAGGTAATTAAAGTGATAGGAGAGAGAAAGTAGGCCCACCCACTTGCAAAATTGGTGGGGAAATGCTAGCAGTTTTGGAGGGATTTGGATTTCCCCCATATTTTCACCAAAAATTCGAATTGGTTGAATTTTTGGTGAAAATTTGGATTCCCTCCTTATTTTAAAAAAATTTCAGCACACATTCAATTTTTTTTGCTGAATTACAGCTTTCATTCAGCATTTAAGAGGCATTTAAATACAAGCCTCCACCATTCATACACATTAATTTCTTACAAACTTAGAGTTTTCTCAAAAAAAAGGAATTTGTTCATCCAAAAGTTAACACTAATTACAAATGGTTAGCCCATTAAATACCCAAAAAACCCCCCTAATCTGAAATTAGTGCTGTACATTAAATACCCAAATCAAATCTTCAGAAGCTGCATCTCCTTGCATCCTTCATCTCCTCCAAAAAAAAACAGCAGCCACCCCTAAATCATTGAGCTAAAAAAAAAAACAACTCAGACAACACATGGCAGAATTTTTGAAGCTTTGTTTTTCGATGTTGATCAAATTCTAACAGAAAAAGAGCTGGCAGAATTGTACTATGAGCATGAAGAAAATATGCAAGATCTAGGCTTGAAGGACTATGAATCTGAAGATGAGAACATGCAAGACAGACAAGGAGAAGAACATGCCCAGCAAAACACACAAGCTGAGGCTGATTCCCCAGAAATGGAACAACCAATTGAACATGGGGCTCAACTTACATAAAGAAAGTAACTCACCATGCAACAGAAAAGACAAATTGTTGATGCAATGTTGGTCAAAATGCATGAGGGGAACTTACCAAGGGGTCACATGAAACATTTATCAGTTCAATTCAATGTTCACAAATCAACCATCACAAGAATATTCACAGATATAAAAAAAAAACAGATGGCATATGGGAATTTGATTGATGTCAGGACTAAGAAGTATGACAGAGCAGGTCGAAAGCCAAAGGAATTTTCTGATGAATTCCTACAGTCAGTCCCTTTGCATTTAAGGCAGACAGAAAGGAGTTATGCAGCAGCATTGAAGATTTCTCATGTTACTCTTCACAATCTGAAGAAAAAGGAAAGGCTAAGAACACACACATGCATCAACAAGCCAGCATTGTCATCAGACCACAAGGTAACCAGACTCAAATGAGTTTTGTCACATATTAATCCAATTACAGGTAATGAGGACCCCATATTTGTTGATATGAACCACTTCATACACATGGATGAGAAATGGTTCTATCTGAACCCTAATAAGAGGAGGTTTTATCTCCTACCAAGTGAGGAAGATCCATACATGGCAATACAGTCCAAAAGATTCAAGCTCAAGGCAATGTTTATGGCCTTAATTGGGAAGCCATTGTATGACACAAATGGGGAACTACTCCATGATGGGAAGTATGGCATATTCCCATTCACTGTCAAACAACTAGCAAAGAAATCCAGCAAACACAGAGATGCAGGAACTTGGGAAACAAAGGCAATCCAGAATGTAAACAAAGAGGTGATTAGAGATATGTTGCCGACAAATGTCATACCAGCAATTATCTCAAAGTGGCCTGAGAGTCTGGCCAAAAATGTTGTCATCCAATGGGACAATGCAAGGCCTCACCAAGTTCCTAAGGATGCAGAGTTTATGACAACAACAACAGCACATGGGTTCAACATTCAATTTGTTTATCAGCCAGCACAGTCACCAGATTTCAATGTGCTTGATTTAGGCTTATTTAGGTCTATGCAATCTTTGCAATATCAGTCTTTTCCTAGCAACCTAGATGAGCTAGTTACAAAGGTGATGGACTCTTATGGCACATTCAATCCTCAAGTGAACAAGTACATTTGGCTGACTTTGCAAAAGTGCATGATAAAGATCCTCAAGGCAGAAGGTGGGAACAAGTACAAAATACCCCACATGAACAAAAAAAAAAAAACTTGAAAATCTTGGCATTCTGCCAAATCAAGTAGAAGTGCAGAAGGAAGTAGTTATGGAGGCTGTGGAGTACCTAAACACTATGTTTAGGCCAGCAGCAATTCAAGGGAATGAACAAGCAACAGAAGATGTGGAGGTAGGTGCAGACTAGGGGACTCAGCACAACAACGGAGAAACACATGGACTGCCACACATAACCACTTAGCTCTGGTAGGGTTTTTTTATTTTATTTTATTTATTTTTATTTTTTATTCACTTATTAGGTGGTTAGGTGTATTTTGTTGAATACAGTGATGCAAACATGTTAGGCAGTCTTATGTAAAGGCTTTTGCTGAAGGTGTATAATCCTTTTGTACCCACATTTTGAATGGAATAGAAATGGAAAAGAAACAGATGTTATGTGGTCACTCAATCCATCAAAAGATTTGTATGTCATAGTTGAATACAACACTAAGTCACAATGTTACCTCAACAACAATAGCATTAAACCAATTGTTGGAGCAAAACATTTGTGTGTAGTGAAATTCAATGGAGTCCCTTCATCATATGGATTTGGATAATGTAAACAGCACAGTAACATGGGGGACTCAATATAAATCAGGCTACAACAGATATTCAAAGGGGACTCCTTTAAGAAATGTGTAAAACAGTAAGGGACTGTCATGTGTTCTCTACCCAAATGATCATTGAGAACATTTTAAGGTATAATAACCATGCCAACTTTAAAAAATAAATGATACAGCAGCCTCATCATTCAACAATCAAACCCCCATATGCACCAAATGTCATTTTGGCAACACCAACCCAACCATCCATCAATCAGAACATGCAGCATGAAGCAACAACTAGCCAACAGAATCCATCAAACCAAACCTATAATAATCCAACCAGCAAACATATTCCTTCACAGCAAGACTACAACAACTAGCCAACATTCAACAACAATTACCAGGCCAACATTCAACAACAATTACCAGGCCAACATTCAACAACACATTCCAATAACAATTACCAGGCTACAAGAACTAGCCAACATTCAACAACAATTACTAGGCCAACATTCAACAGCACATTCCAACAACAATTATAAGGCTACAAGAACTAGCCAACATTCAACAACAATTACCAAACCAACATTCAACAGCACATTCCAACCACAATTACCAGGCTACAAGAACTAGCCAACATTCAACAACATTTACCAGGCCAGCATATTCCAACAAGACAACATATCAGAAAATATCACCAACACATACATGAAGCCAACATAGCCAACCATCCAAAAGATCAGACAATCGGGAATAAAAAACGAAGCCAACATGCATCCAAATCAAATCAGAAATAAGCAACCAAGCCAACATGCATCCAGATCAAATCTGAAATAAGCAACCAAGCCAACATGCATCCAGATTAAATCAGAAATAAGCAACGAAGCCAACAAGCAATCAGATCTAATCACCATACTATCGAAAAAATCAAAGGACAGGGACTCAAAAAAAAAAATGAAATAATGTAGGGTTAGGAATCGTTACGCAAGCAGTCACTTGGAGGGTTGAACCTTTAGGTTCATCCGCCTCGCAGAGTGCTTCAAAGGAGGGCCGCGCGCTTCACCATCTTCATCTAAAACACAAGCCTTCTTTGAAGGAGGTGATGAACCCTTCTCATTTTCAGGCTCATCATCAGAAGACAGAACGATCAACGCTTGATCTGACAACCCACGCATCCGCCTTAGAGCCACCAATGCCGCCTTCCGTTTAGCCCTGATCTTCGTGGGTGGCCTAGCCCTCTTAGATCTGGGCTTACTGGTGGGCACAGAACTCCCCTCACCACTATCACATACCGGATCTACAGATACAGCACTGAAATCAAGCGATTTCTTGCCATGGGACTCCCCCTCACCCTCAGCCCTCTTGAGACGCTCCTCCTCCTCAACACTTTCAAGAACCTTACCCAAAGCCTTGTGGGTGGTCGACGAACAGTAACGACCAGCATCACTAGACTCGTAGAATTGGCGAGGAAAAGGAGATCCGGTGTCGAAAGATTGAATCAGGGACACAATCAAATTACCCTCACCGACGTCGTCGATGGCAATGAAAGCGTCGTGAAGTGGATCGAGGTTAACCATGTTAGTGGGGGACTCGATTTTTGCAAGATCTGAGGTATCAAGGTAAGATCTAAGGAGTACAATTGGAGAAAATTAGGGACGAACAGGAGAGAGAAAGACGAAGAAGATGAACTAGGGTTTATCTGAGGAAGTCTCCAGAACATAAAAGGAAGCCCTGCCATCACAAATTAATTTTTGGTGGTTGGGAATGTGAATAATGAGAGTGGTTGGGGGGGAAATGGGATAATAAATGGAGGGAGTGATTAGATTTGATCAAAACTGATTAATTTTAGATTAATTTGATTAAAATAAGATAAGGGTAAAATTATGAAAATCTGAATTTTTAAGTAAGGGTAAATATGTAATTTTTGAGGTTTTTGTTTACTAAAAATAGAAAGAAAATAGAAAGTTGCACATAATGTTTAGTGGACTAAAATAGTAAAAGTTGCACATAAAAATTAACGGATAAGACAGTTTATGTAAAAGTTCATACAATATTCATTCCTTGGATAACTTTCTTTCCCAACTTGTTACCATAAAGTTCCCTTTAGGTGATAGTTCACTAGTCCTCCCTCAATTTCATATTGTTCTTTCTATTTAAAATCTTACCATGGGATTAAATTATTCAAAGCAGGGAGAACATGATACAAAGGGAGTACCAAACTCAATTGATTGAAAATTTTCTGTTTAGGATTCTTTAAATCAAAATATTTCAAGCTTTTTTTTTTTTCCTTTTTTTTTTTTTTTTTTTTGAAGGAAAAGATAAAATATCATTAATTAAAAGTCATAAGCCATCTATAATAAGTATTATAGAAAAGTAAAATAAAATCTAAATCAATCAAGTAAAAATCCTCTTTAAGGAAATTATGATGATGATAAACTAGATCTGACGATGAAGCACAGTTTCCGATTGTTCGCTGAATTATACAGCCTTGTGTGAGGGGACCATCTTCTTGACAGTTTTGGGAAGAAAATTCATTACTTGACCATGTCAATCGCATCTTCAATTCCAACACCAATTGCAAAATTGTACGAATAAAACCCATGAATCCAATCTTTCAGATAAAATCCTAAAAATAAATTCCAATCTTCTATAAGGGAAGAGAAGAAAGACAAAAACCAAATTCTCACAAAAGGAGAGAACAAACCCAAAAATTGGGAAGAAAACTCTCATAAAGAGAGAGCAAGGAGGATTATTAATGACTAAAAAACAAAGGAAATAAAGAAAGAAATGGGACTTACTAAATATTTTAGGGTTTTTTTATAGAGAAAGAGGCGAGAGAAAGTTTACTAAATATTTCAAGCTTATTTGTGACAAGAATTTTTGCATTTTCACCACAACAAAGTCAACAATGAGTCTTCAAATTGAACTTGTCCATTATCATGAAATCATATGAAAGTGCTACTATTCAGTTTCTTCCAAAATCAAGACATGTGAATTTCCTCCACATATAGTTAAATTCAATCATCAAGTTTGGTAGCTTCGGTTTGAAGTCAAGACTTTAAGAGTTGAGAGCATCATCATCCATGGATAAGAGCAAACCAGAAAATAAAGTTGACAGTAGTGTTCTGATATCTCTCTTGTCACCCCCATTTTCTCCATATTTCTTCTCCCACGGAGCCACATATTTGTCCACAACCCTCCCATTCTGTTTCTGTTCCAAACATCAGAACGAGAAGAAATTGAATTGTGTGTTGGCATCCCAAAAACTATGACTAATTAAGAACAGGGGTACATTCACTTTTACATTGTCTAAGTTCAGAACAAAACCTGTGTATATCAATACAATCCCTAACAGCCATTGATTTCGCTTGATCAACACTTACATATCATACATGCGCAACGCCTTGCAGCAGCCATCTTATCCCACACAAAAACACAGCAACACAATCACCATTGTATACTTCTTTTAGCGGTTAATGGTCTCAATGAACCTTGATCATTGCCAAATTTAACAGAAGATTAAACTAAACTAGATAATGGATAAGTTCCACTATTACTTCAGGTCTCCTCATTACTCTAATAACAGAGTAGCCCCTCAATGCATACCAATATCCACGACAGTTTTACTACATTCCACTAGCCATAAATTCATAGCCCCCCAAGCAAAACCCTCTCCTATAGTCTGTCGGTTGCAACAATGATGAGAAGCTCAAGCATGAACCATACAAATAAAAAGGATATGAAATCTAACAAGGTTCCATTAAAACTACAGACTACTACAATAAGTTGCTATTTTTCCTGTCATTTCAACTTATTGAATTACTGCAAACATCAAGGATTTCTTAAAATGCAAACCTAACAGACCCTTCGATCAGTTCTAAATTACTCATACACAATCAACACTATCAAACATACAATAATCAGCAATAATAATTTCATAAAAAAAATCAAAACCAAAAATGCTCAAATACTAGTTCATATCATTAAATCAATATGAAACAAGAACAAAAAGGGGTTCTCAAATTCCAGATCTAAATTGAAAAATGTAACATTTGAGCATTAAAATCCTTTCATAACATTCCTATGACAATTTAACCAAGCAAAATTGCATAAATAAAAAGAAAAGATTTAAGCAGTAAGAAGAACAGCGCCGCCATTCTCCTTAATCTTCTTCTCAGCAATCTTAGAAATCAACTTAGCCTTAACAACAATAGGCTTCGAGTCAGGCAAAACACCCTTACCAAGAACCTTGAAGTAACCAAACTGGGTAACATCAATGACAGGAGCCTTGCCTTCCTTGGAAGCCTTCTCCTTGACATCTTCGGGAAGCATTGACCAAAGCTTGTCGATGTTGACAATGGGGCAGTGGAACCTGTTCCTGAGTTTGTGGAAGTAACGCATACCGACTTTGCCGAAGTAACCAGGATGGTACTTGTCGAACAGGATTCTGTGGTGGTGCATACCTCCGGCATTACCACGACCACCGGGATGCTTTCTGTGCTTTCCGATACGACCGTGTCCGGCTGACACGTGCCCTCTCTTCTTCCTGTTCTTCTTCAATCTCGTCGTCATTGCGGCGAACTCTGTTTCTCTGGAATTGGAGGTGAAATGAGAAGAAAACTAGGGTTTTGGAGATGATGTTTTTATAGAAGTGCTCTTTCTGGACTAGGGTTTTTTTTAATTGGGTTCTTGGAATAGAGGAAGGCTTTCGGATTTTGGATGCTCTTACCAACTTCTTCTCTTAGCCCAAAGCCCAATTTTTCTTCTTCTTCCTTTTTATTTATTTATTTATATTTTAATTTTCATTTTTGGGGTGCATAATTGTTAATGTATAATGTCAAAAAAATTAAAAATGGTTACTTATATATTATAGTATCATATATTTCATATTTAAATACAAGTAATAAGTAACGATTGGATGGAACCTAGTAATATTGAAAATGGGACCTAGAAATTTAATGATTAGTCACAAGAAGAGAGAATATAAACATATAGGAATGATAACATAAAGAGAGAAAATAAAAATCAGAGAGTGTAATGATCTGGTTAAGAAGATGACCAAATTCCTTATTTTAAGAAGGTACATCTTAGCTTAGTTATTGATATATTATAACATGCAAAATAATGCACACACCAATAAAGATACGTATAGTACTATAGTAGTACACTAGTACGTTGTAGTACTAACAAATTTGTTATAATCCTCAGCCTTCAGTATTTCCATCCAACATAGATACCAATATATCATGGAGTACAATAAAGAATAAACCACCATAGGTTGAAATATACCAATACATTATACGTACATAGACTTAAATTATGCTTTTTTGAACTATATATTCAAATGCAAGGGCTCACTTGGTATCTGATAAATGGAAGTGAACTAATGATAAGACACTCTTTAATTATAGGATTCCCTGTTAGGCCATGATCACTTTCTTTCTTAGGAATTAAGTAGAATATATTGCACCAAACTCATCAATCTAAGCAGTAAGCATCCATAAATTTCTTAATAATGGAGACTGTGGGGCTGATAAGATTGCTGATGTAATAGTTCATACTTACATTCTTAATTCCTAGTGTTCTTTCTTTCCAAGCTTTTCAATCTTTATTTATGTATATGCATGTCAACTTCACTTCTTTATTAGTAGTTAGCTTCAATTTGGTTTTTAATAACTCAGATCATACTATTACCTTAATCACCTCTATTGGATTTCATGGATGTGTTCTCCTTCAAAAACTTGATTTTTACTGCTTAAAATTCCTCCATTAATAGTTGCCATGCAATGATTTTGTCTGGTGGCTTTGCTTTAGATTAAGGGCTTCATAAATCCATCAACAACAACAAAAAGAAAAGTTAATGGTAGACCTTCCTCCTCTCCCACGGTCCACACATCCGATTATAATCCTAATCTGTTTCGTCCATAACTCTTCCATCTAACGTTTTTACATGGTTGATAAAGTGCCGATTTAACCTTGATCATTGACAGTTTAAAGCGTAAATGAAAGATCACGTGTCGCGTTTAATTGGGTTCCACTAATACATCAATTTTAACAGATTATAATTTCCCTAGTCTGATCCTGATTTCTGATTCTTATTTCCCCTGCAGGATTTTTGACAAGTTATCTGATCTACAACGAAAGTTGTTCCTGTGAAGTACTTCACAGCCAGGAAGCAAGCATATTAAAATGCAAATTCTAGTCTTTCAACCTTGATTGGCTCAAAGACAGAATGAAGCCAAGCTTTCAATTATAACAAAGGAAGTACGTACAAAGCTTTTTCTTTATCTTCCTGCTCAACAATCCCACTTCAAGTAATGATTAAGCAAACATTCAATGTACTCACTAGTAATAGCCTGCCTATATTAGCGCAAATCAAGAGTCAGTTCCAGAATTTCTCAAGCTTAAATTTTGGGGTAGAATATTGTCCTGACTGTATTCTTGTAGCTACTACACGATTAGCAGCTTCAGTATAATGAACTCCATCCCAAACTATAGACTGTGATACATTGCTACAGATGCTATAACCTGGCTGCCCACATGTTGCGTTTCTGTCGTAGAAGTATGGAGCCCCACGACCACAGCAAGCCGCAAATGGGTTTTTGAATCCTAGAACAATACACCACATTTGTAACTTTTAATTGAGAAATAAACAAGAATGATTAAACAACAGCAATAACTTAAAATTAATCTCACTGGGGCGCAACCTTGCCCCTAACTACAGAATATATAAAGAGGGTTTCTTTATTTTATTAGCATAATAATAATAATAAGCTTTAAGAGAGCTCAGAAAGTTATTACCATATTTTTCAGGGTTGGCAGAGAGACTGTATTTGACAGAATATACATCAACATAAACAATGACAGCATCCTTGAACACTGATCTAAGATTTTCAGACAGTATGCGGAGCCCCTTATTGAAGGATTTTGCTACTCGGTTGTGTACACGAAGACATCCCACTCGATCAAGGTCACTGCTTTTGTGGGGATGCAGGGCAAGTTCTTTGGGTTGACAGCCTAAGGGCCCTGTGTTGTGGATCCAAAATTTTCTCCCACCATATTGGTAGACTGTCTGCAATTATTTTAGCAATCACTTATCAATGAACCTGAATGTAGTCCAAAATCTAAATGCACAAGTTGAGAGCTTACCTGCACAGCCAATCTAATTTCTTCAAGAAAGGACGGGATTTTTTGAGCAACAGGACCATATGTTATATTTGATGCATAAAGGGCCAATAGAAGATCATTTTGTCCAATGTCAATCATATAAAGTGCACTACGGAACCCTTCTTCGTTGATCAAGTCCCTCGATCCTGCATATAATGTAAGTCATCAGTTTCTAGACCATGTAATAGGCTTCATTCAAGAATTATGGACTTGTTATGTAATTAGATACTACTAATTTACCAAGTGAAAGGAGCTCAAGTGACCGATTTTTGAAGTGAATGAACTGACGAACTTGGACACTCAAAGCAAAAGGAACAAACTTTGGCAGCAGGGTTGCACCCGAGACAGCAAAGTTAACGCCGCTGGTAAAATTTGGTGACAGTGAATCCAAGTATGGACTCAGGTAGTTCAACTTCAAGTGCTCACCTGCCAGACAATGAATTAGATTTTTCAAACATAGAAAAATACACTCCCAAAGGAAGTATAAAGTTTACTTACAGAAGAAGTCAATGATAAGACGACCATCGCCTAATCGGCCAGTGCCCCGGTGGAAGAATGTAATACCATTCGGCAGGCCAATGGGAAGTCCAGTACCAGCTAGCACCCCTCCAGTATCTGAATTCGAGTCCCCCAAATTAACAAGAAGGGGCCTCTTCTGACGTCCATTAACTTCTACACCATTTGAGAGTGTTAGTAACAGCAGCAGTATGCTCATCCAACACCACATTGCACTCATCCTAATCTCCATCATTATTCCATCAAGTCACTTATTCTCAGGCTTATCATCTATAATCCTGTCTTTTTATTTCTTTTCTTAGTCAAATGTTATTTTTATTTGCCAAAATGCAGCAATTTGGCAAGAGGACATAATTTTTTATCTCGAAAAGCAATAGAGAAACATAAGTAATTGAAAATACAACCATTAGTAATTGTATTTAAATTTTGGCTCAATTAAAGAGAGATTATCTTCTCCATGGTCCTCAAAATAAGTCAGATAAAAATTAAACAAGTATTAAAATCGGTTCCTTACATACGCACAACTTTGAAAGTCTAGTATGAATTATAAAATAATGCATTAGATGTAAACAGCCACATGGATGCAGTAAACTTGAAAATGAGATGTTTAAGATAACTCCTCTACATCAAACCTTGACTTTTATGTTTTTTTAATGTCCGAATGTATAAACAAAGTTATAAGCAGATCTCAGATTTGCAGATTGCACTTGGGGTAGGGAAAGAATTGAAGGATAGATTAGTCAGAAAGAGCAATATGTAGTCATTGTCTCAGTGAGGAGCAAAAAAGAGTAATTAGAGTGCGGTGAGCGTGGATCGAACACGCGACCTTCAGATCTTCAGTCTGACGCTCTCCCAACTGAGCTATCCCCGCTATTTGAGATTTCAGTATGTTAGATACTTTACAGTATACATTCTTTTGAAAACTACCTAGCTTGCAAAGTTACGTAATGGATAATCAAAGGATCAACCCTTGCTGTATTTATTTTATTGATATGGAAAAGCCTTTATCACAAAAATAAATATGTAGTGTTTCGGATGAAAACAATCGAATCTCGGAAGATCCTTTTATCTTGAGGGAACTTGGTCTCGGTCCGAACGACGCAGGAGCCGAGGGTTTCCTGCACAACAAATACACGTAAACTAGCCTCGGGGGGGACGCCGAGGAAGGCCCCTCCGATGCTTAAGTCAGTATATTAGAGAGAGAAAGCTGTGCAAGAGTTTAGTTGCTTGAGGCTTTTTTGTCTTACCAAGAATTGACCAAATTGTTGGCTTTTATACCTTGGCTAATGAAGGAGGCGGATTGGGCCCGGAAGTCAGTTGGGCTGGGCCAAGCTGATTGGGCCGTTGACTGACCTTGACATGGCTTTGAGGATGTTGATTTTTGACTTTAGCACATTTGGAGAGTTGAACCTTAACCTTGGGCTTTTAATTGGATCATTCAGTGACCAGGCCCAATTGGACTAAATTGGACCCAAACAACTTGCCCCCAGACCCGATTTGGAAGGATGACGGGTCGGGTTTGATTTAATCAGAAAAGGAGGGAAGTGAATGATTTGTTAATCCAAAAATGTGAATTTAAACCGTAATTAACCCATGATTAATGAGATAACAACAGTTAATGTGGATAATTGCGGAAGTTGGACGGGTAGTGGGCGATTTAACTGCAAGGTCGTGTGTTTAACGGTTACTTAGTGGGGTGCTTGAGAGAAATTGAAACGCAGACTCCTTGAATTCCCATTTCTGGAGATATAAATAGAGGCGCGTCTTCTCTCCCCACTCATTCATCAACACAAACCCAGAATTCTCAAGAACGCTCAAGAGCCCGCATCAAAACTTCGCAAATTCCCCGAGCATTAAGCTTAGAAGCTGAGACTTGTCACTACCAATTCGTAAATCGGCGACTTTTGCTTCAGATCAAGGTAAATTCCTTTGATTTTATTTCATTTTTCTTCGACTTTGCACTCTTTCCCCTTTTTCGACTTTTTCCTTCGAAATTCGTCAATGGTGAGGGGAGTTAGAGGTGGAGCCCGTGCTCCAAGAAGAGCAAGGCTAATCCCCGATCCCAGGGACAGGATTGGGACCTGGAATGGACGAAGGACAGAGTCTGACCCTGCTGAAGGGGTTAGGGCGACTCCCATTTCTTCGGCTCCTCCTCAGAGGGCTGAGGGGGTGAGCGCTTCAGGACGGGATGATGAAGTTCCCGCTGTCCTTTGGGATATCCTCCCAGGGTTTTCAGAGTGGGAGGATGCCGAAGTAGCTTCGGCCATGATAAAGAACCGCCCCTACCCATGGTGGGTGGAGAATGCTGATCAGTACCGGTTTGCCGAGCAAATTGAGTTGCATTACGGCATCCTTGAAGCCGATGGGTATTGGTGCCGAATGCCCACGGCCTCCGATAGAATCCACCGTCCACCCCCGGGGTATGTGGGGGTGTACACAAGACAACTCCAGTACGGGCTGAGGTTCCCTTTGGACGTATTCGTCCGAGACTTGCTGATCCATTACAACATTTCCCTGTGCCAGCTGACCCCCACCAGCATCCGAAGGGTAATGACGTACTTATGGGTCTGCAAATTCTTCAGGTACGTGCCGAACCTGCATTGCTTCAAAAGGCTCCATCGGCTAGTGCCAAACATTCAAAGTGGGCACGGATGCCATGGCTCTGGGTGGTATCGGATTGAGTCTCGGCCCCCGTTCCTAACCATGTGGCCGAACGACTCTTCAGACAAGGACTGGAGAGGTCAATGGATTTGGGTTAGGGCACCCACGGAGCCGAGCCACCCTTACGTTTTCAGCGCTCCCCGGTATCTTGCCGAGCCGGATCCTGATATGGGAAGTTTAGGTCCTCCCGAAGATAGCGGGCCAGACCCGAACCTTAATCAGCAGAACATCTTCGGCAAGCTGCCGAACCGGGGAGGCAGCGGCCGAATGCAGCATATCCCGGAGACTTGGCTCCCCGATACGCACTATGTTTTCCAAGAGAATATGCTGGCAGCTGTCGGCCTCAGCCGAAAGTTTAGGGATGGTAATCTTCTTCGGCTGGGGCCGAGGCCTTTTAATTATCTCTTTTCTTCTTTCATTTTGCTTTCTTGTGATGTGCCGAACTAACTGAATTGACTTCTCCCCTTTTCTTTTTCAGAACGGGACGAGACCAACGTCGGCATTGATTACGCTCGCCTTGGCGTCAACCGAGAACGAGTCGTAACTGATCGGGCTCCCCCTATCACTGAACCAAGGCGCCGAGAGGTTCACCTAGACTCTTCCCACTTCCAAATTGAGGCTGTTGCTCTGTATCAGAGGCAGAAGCCTTGGTGGAAGAAGAGAGATCCCTTGTTTCAGCTGCTGGAAGAAGAAGCTGAAGCTGCCCGTACAGCCGAAGAGGTTGCACGGGTTATTGAAGCTTGTGAAGGTGGAGAAGGGTCCTCCAGAGTTGCTGAAGAAGCTGCGGCTAGGGCAGCTGAAGAAGACGAGGCTTTGCTGAAGACCTCGGTGAGCCTTTAGACTTAACTTTGTCTTTCTTCTTTTTTTTTTTTACTCACATTCTTCCCCCTGCCTGCCCTTTACAGTCTGAAGAGAGCAGCAGACACAGGGAAGGGAAAGCCCCTGTTCGTCCCGAAGACCAAGTACAAGAAGAGTCTTCAGACTCGGGTATGGACGAGCAGCCGCTTCAGAAGAGGCGCCGAAGAATGGCCATCATCGGCCCGCATGACTTTCAGCGGAGGCCGATGACCATCGGCGTTGAAATAAGGGAACCCGAGGAAGGCAATGGATCGCCGAGGGTTCCCCGGCCACCGCCTCAATCACCCCCAAGGGCCTCTCCGCCACCCCCCGAGATGGAGGTGGATCAGAGAACTCCCAAACCTAAGGGAGAGGTTCTGGATGAAGCTCGAGAGAGTGCCGCCGAGGACAAGGATGGAGACGCCGTGATGCCCAGTGCTGAGGGTTTCACGGCGGACATTGCCAGAGAGGTTGGGGCCTTCGTCCTCACACCTGAAGAAGAAGAGGTCACAATAATTGACTCTTCTGAGAAGGAGGAGGACGTTGAGCCACCCAAAGCTAAAGAGGCTCCATCGTCATCCTTCCCTTCCTTCCAGACGCTGCAGTCTGGAGAAATGGGTTTCTCGGCCCCCCGAATTCCAGTCCCAGACCACATCTGGGACCTCATATGGGGTCAGAACCGAGAAGGTGCTGCAGCCTACTTCGGCGATTTTGCTGGCCTGTCCGAAGTAGATAGGGCAAGGATTTGGTCGCTGAAGGCCACTGCTGGGATGGGCGAATCCAGCAGATCAGTTCCTGACCCTGCCAGGTCCAACCAACTGCTGATGATGCAGGTAATTCTCCTTGCCTTGATTTCTTTCTGAACTCAACCTTTCAGCTATTATTTTTTACTTTTTTAACTTGTGCCCCTGTTTTCAGTTCGTGCACAATCAGACTCTCACTGTAGAGCTGATAGATTCCCTACAAGATAGGGTGGACGCTGCCGAGCACGATCAAAGGGTAGCCGAGGAAGAGCTAAAGCTTGCTAAGCTGAAGCAGGCAGCAGCTGAAGAGAAGCAGCAGAAGGCTGAGGAGTACGAGAAAAAGGCTGCTGAAGCCCTCCAGACCTTCTGCGACGCTATGGAGAAGGAAGTTTTTCCCCCACTGATGGAAGGGGAAAAATTCCTCCAAGAGCACCTGGGGGTGGACATCTCCAAGTTCAAGGCTGCTATCGAGAGCCGAATCCAAGAAGGAGCTGCTGCACAGGCTGAAGTGCAGCATCAGCTAGAATCTCTTGAAGCCAGCAGAATGGCTGCTGAAGAGATGCTCCAAGCTAGGGATGTCCAACTCTCAAGGGCTGCTGCTGCTGCTGAAGCTCAAAGAGCTAAGCTACAAGAGGCTGAGGATCAGCTCACTGCCAAGAAGGAAGAAATGGTCCAAGTTCAGGCCGAGGCTTCCCAGGTTCAGCAAGAGTTTACCGAGCTGAAAGGCTCCTCCTCCAAGCTCGTCGATGAGCTGAAGAGATCCGAGGAAGACTTGGAGGAGACGAAGAAGAAGTTGGCCGATGCTGAGGCTCTACTCAAAGTCCGTATCTATACCCAAGAAGAGTATGAAATGGGTTTTAGAAACGGGTTCAGAGTGTGCCGAAGGGTCTGCCTTCATGCTGAGCCGAAGCTGGACTGGTCCAAATGTGCTGAATGGGTCCAAGATCCCGAAGACCCTCACATGAAGTATGCCACTCCAATCGAAGCTGAAATCCTTAAGGCTGAGGAAGCCGAGGAAGAAGCTGAGAGGATGGAGTTGGAGGCTGAGCAGAGGGAAAGGGAGGCTCGGCAAAGTGCAAAGCCTGCTTCTTCTGCTGCTGGAGCTGAGACCACCATTGGGCCCAATGAAGCTGATCAGTCTGATCCTCAGGCTGAAGCATAGGAACTCGGGCAGTCGTCTTCAGAATCTTGCGGTTCATCGTGCGCTCAACTTTAGACTTGCCGCTTTCTGAATTTTTGCCTTTTGTTTTTTTTTTGCTTCAGCTTGCCTTATCGTACAACAGCTTATTATATTTTTATTTTGCCTGTACGTATTTCGGCAGCTGTTACTTTCCGCTTGTGGGCGGCTGCCGACTATTTTTGTAACTCAACATTTTTATTTCAAAGAAGTTCACTTTCTCAGCTTTCTTGTGTATTTTTTTTCTCTTCGCTTTACCAGTCTTCGCACTTTACTGCTTTCTTTGAATGATCTTTCAAATATTTGCTAAGTGCAGAACTTCGGCTAGCGAGAATCATTTCTGCTGAGACTTCTTTTTGCCGCTTGTACTCGGATGTTTTCAACTTGTGAAAAAACTGACATAAGTATCAAACTTCGGCTGAGCTGAAGGGTATTAGATCAGTTGTGCCATTTCTCTATTTCCCTCTGCCCCCCCAGAAATCTGAAGATGAGGTCTTCTGAATTCTGGAATGGCTGATAATTTTTCTCGGCTAAGCCGAGGATCTTTGAACACTTTGCT